GCAAGAGTTCTGATGGGGACCTATTAAACTGTAACCTTCTGCACAGACACAGAGACTCAACAGAACACTGAGGTGTTCTGTTAGGCTGTAGAATAGGCATCTGATAAAAGACAAAGAACTGTAGTTTTTGGCAGTTAAATTGACATGTATATTGGGGAGCCATTTTCTGTATGAGAATGCATAATGTGAAAACTGTGTAAATTCCATAGTTTGCTCTTTCTGACTGAATGTCAGAATGTATAGCAAAGTTAAATACAAGGAAATCACCTAATTACACCCAATAGCTTCTGTTGAATTTCTAAATCACCTTGGATTGCATCTAGGAAAATGAAAAGTAAACTAGATTATTATAAGAAATAGTTTTCAGAGAAAAATCTGTCAAAGGCTGACTTTGAGTACTTTCAAATGGATATAAGGTAAATTGCCACAGCATAAAGCAATGGATGAGTTATAGCCAGTGACAGTCCCTATATATCATACTAGAAGTTTTTCTTCAGTTTTGTCTTAAGTTCATTCTTTCTCTCCAGTACTCCTTTCAATCATCTGTAAGAAGAGATTTTTACTGTCGTGATAGTAAGAGGGAACTTTCTGCTATTTGTAATGGCTTCTGAGACATTATAGCAGTAGTCTAAAACTGAGCATTAGGCATTGTCTGTGGCTTCCATGGTAACTCATGCAGTTTTTTAATTGATATTTCTGCTCCTACATAGTAGACATACTAAAAGTGGGGAGAGAAGAGGGGGAAACGTATTTTGGCCTGCTTTTTACCATGGCGAAGAAGAAATAACTGCCTTTTGATAAAAATTCAGAGAATTTTCAGACCTTCACCCAGTGTTGAGGGGAATAGTATGAAGTTGTACCTGGCAGTACAAATAAGTTGGTTTATCAGTTGATTGAGTTCTTGTTATGGCAATTACAATCCTGAGCTCCCTTTTCAGAATTGGCAAGTTATTTAGAGTGCAAGTTCTAGCAAGAAATAGAGTCATGATTATTAAAGATTTGTTGCCTTCTTTTTTTTTTAAAAAAAAAAACTTTGGCCCTATAATTGCCTCTTTGTATTTTTTTTTTTTTTTCTCTTCCCAAACTTAGAAAGGCTTTTAGTCTTTGGTGAGAAATTTTAACTTTAAAGCTCTTTGTGTGTTATATTCTTCAATACATTTAATGAGGAATAACTTTCTAACAACATATTGAGGCACTGTAAATACTGAGACCTGTAACAGCACTTGCAGGATGGTATATGACAGCAATAAAACATTTACGGTTGCATTCTTCATCCTTGTGATAGTGGTATATTGATTATATACAACTACAAAGCAGTAAGAAAGGATCAGGATTTTGTGAAGTACTTTATTTACTCAGCCTTCATATAATACTCCCTTTACTCAAAAGCCCTATTCAGTGGTTTATATGGCTTTCTTTTGCACATAATTTCCATTAGGTTATATAACCTGGCAACCTGGCTTCACATCAAGCCAGTCTATTTAGGGAAAACTTTAATTAGCACTGCCGTGCTGGAGGGGGAAGAAAAACAATCCCACCTGACAGTTGGTCTGTTTATTCTTTTCTTGTTTGCTAAAAGTTGAATACTATGTGAGTAGACAGGCTGCCAGAACTTGGACCAGTGGTACTGGAGGTTTGATTTGTTCTGTGGGAAGAGTTCACCTTCAGAAGGCAAGGAACAGTCATGAAAAGGAGAATGATGGAAAACCTTTGCAGCGAAGAACTTTCATCTTGACTCCAGTTGAACTGAAGCTGCCTTACAATCTAGAATGTGAGAGTTTATCTCTTTTCCACAGGTAGATAATAGAAAAAAAACAACCTGTAACTCTGGCTGTTTTCCTCTTCCAGATGAAATATTTCTTCTTTTTGTGGAATCTTGTGAAGGTCTGAAAGTTTGAATCAACCACCTGAACTCAACTGGATCTATGAGCACCTTTAGGTGATGACTGTGTCTTAGTTTAATGGACAACAAAGGGAAACGAGGATGTTTAAATATGCCATATTCTTACAAGGAGAAATGTGCAATGTTTCCCACTTCATTTGTCCTAGTGAATCATGAAAGAAAGGGAATAGAAAGTAAAATATGAGATTAAATGCAGTAGCTATAAACTCAGGGTATGAGAAGGTGTTTAAAATCAATTTATTTTATTGAGCATAAAAAGTACACCTTGACATCTGCCAGTGAGATGAAAACTATGAAAAAGGATGTTGTACAAAACTGGTTACAGCAAGTTTACTGCTTTAAAGAGGTTCTTAAAGAACTCAGTTCCCAGCCAGCTGTAGGATATACAAAGTTTGGCGTAAGGCTTCCACTGATTTTGAAAGTCTGTAGCGTTGTTATGAAAACTGTGCCGTCATTTTAGATGTCCCACAAAACCATAATTTAATTGGTGGTTATGCAAAAAGAAAATGTCACCAGGAAGAAAGGTGGCATGCACAGACTCATTGAGTAGAGCTGCCTGGTGTTTTCTGCAGAGATGGCTGACACAATTCTCCAGTTTCTCTGTGGCCTCCTGGGCTGCAGAGAAGCACTTGATCTCCTGGGCTGCAGAGCAGCGCTTGATTAGTGTTGCCAATTCCATTCTGAAGCTGGTCAGTATATCTGTAACAGACGCAAGCTATTTGTTAGCATATGCTGGATGTTCGTTTTCCTCAGAGATTCTGTAGAGTATGTGAGAAAGATTTTCTTCAAAGCCAAACAGAATAATACCAGCTTAGAAAACTGTGCTGCAGAAATAAGTATCTTCTGCTTCTCGTTCACAGGTGGTAAGCAGAAAGGCAATTTTTTAAAAATACAGATTTAGGGGTAAGTATGATTATTTTATTTAGCTTAATATTTTGTTTCTGGGTAACGTGTGCATATTGCATTCCTACAACATAATGGGACTCTGGAGGCTCCTTAGTGAATCTAGAGAGATGAAACCCATGCTAACACTGGAATACTGAATTAAAAGCGCTATACATTTTATATGAGGCATTCTTCAGGATAGGGATGGATGTGAGCAGTGAATATTATGAGCCTAGTTAAATGTGAAAAAGTTAACAACTTTAACTTAAAAAAAGGAGGGGGGGGGGAGGGGAGGTAGAAAAAAAAAAAAAGTAATAAATACATGTAGTTGTTAATTCTTCCAGGAGAAAAACTTTTCTTCATTCATAATCAAATTGCTTTGACCCTCAAATAATTATTATTTTGTGCAGATTTTTTCATGTGTTTGAGTCTTTGCAACTAGGGAACCTTAACTAGTTTTCATTGCATTGAACTTTATCATACACTTAAAAGAACTGTAGTGGGTATTGATTTTTAGCTATTATGTGTACAGAAAACTGTAACTATGGGAATTACTGTTTGCAAAAAGGCAGAAAGAAATGTTTTCTCTAACAAATAAAAAGCAAATGAAAGGGATGGAAATGACCTGCAATTTACTAAGGCAAAGCATAAAAGAATCCAGGAGATCTAATTGCTAGCAAAGACAAGAGCTCTGTTCCCTCTTATGACCTTGCTTGTTTTCACTGTTATTTTTTACTGAATCTTTGATGTTTGGCTTCCAAGAATTTCTGAAGGTGCAGGATAACAAATTGATATTTAACATGGGTTTCAGATATCATTTGATGGATGGAAGTGGTTTGCACTGCTTTGCCGAACTTCACACGTCAAACAAATATTTTTACTTAGTTTCTGAAAAATAGAATCATAGAATGGCCTGGGTTGAAAAGGGCCACAATGATCATCTAGTTTCAACCTGCCTGCTGTGTGCAGGATCACCAACCACCAGACCAGGATGCCCAGAGACACATCCAGCCTGGCCTTGAATGCCCTAGAGGGGCATCCACAACCTCCTTGGGCAATCTGTTCCAGTGAATAGGAACAGCATAAACAACAAGTGCAACAAACAAAAATAGCATACTTAGTTCTGTAAAACAGTAAAATTGAATGAGGTTTTTATTTGCATCACATTATTTTTAATTGCCAGTGATGCAGTATAGCAGAAGTTCTGCTGTATCTATTGATTTTCATTAGCACATGATTAATCATCCCAAATAATTGGGCCAAGAAAGCCCAGTGAAAAATTCTCCTGTATACTTTTCAGCTGACATTACTGATACTTTATCTTAGAGGGAGAAATCTTAAGGTAGAAAAATCTGTTTTCGAAGATTCCTGATTCATGCATTAAAATTGGTTATATAAATTTATTTATAATAAATTTAAAATAAAATTTTAAAATAAAAATGAATTATAAATTTATTTTATATGTGTAAAATTAACAAAGTTCTTATTTTAATGTAAATTTGTGCCAAAAGGTAAATCTTGTTTTATAGAGAGAGCGAGAGATCCCGGAAGAGGGTAAATGCTGTACGTTGACTGTGCAAAGCTTAAGATGGCTGCACTTATTTTTTCCATCAACAGTTGTGTTGGAATCTCTTTCTGTTGCTTGAAAGAGTGTTGTGAGTTAAGAGCCCTGGTTGTTCAGCGCGGGGTCAGGTGAGCGCTTCTCTGCTGCGCAGGTGGAGCGGGACCCATTGGTGGGACACAGGTGGCGCTCGCAGCGCACTGCCACGTGCAGGGAGCCCGCACGGCTGCAGGGTGAACATTCCTGCCTCTGAGCTTGCAGGAAAAGTTTGCCTGGAAGATATATTGCTTACAAACTCTCGGATGTTTTTTATTGTTTGTTTTCGTTCTTGTTGGTTTTTACCTCCTGCTTGTCCCCAACCTTTTTAAAATTTTTATTTATTTTATTTTGTGCTTCAGAACTCCAATGAAGAGACTGTTACCGGGGGGGGGGGGGGGGGGGGGGCGGGGCACGCGCTGCAGGTGGGCGGGAAGCCTGCCAGCTGCTGGAAGGTTCCAGAGCGCTGGGCCCTGCAGGGAGGTCGTGCTTTGGGCCGCCGCTAGGGGGCGCCACGTGCGCGCTCGTGCTGCGCGTGGGTTGGGGGGGGGGGGGGGTTCGCGTGCTTCTGCTTCAGCTTTACCCTCAAAGCCGCGCTGAGGGGCGGGAGAGCGCTGCTTGCTGTAGCAGAGCGTGCTCGGTTACGTTCTTTTTCCTCAAGCAGAACGAATGTCCGATGGAAAATGCATAGTATGAGTAATGCATGTGTCCGTGCATCACAGGTGAGAAGGATTTCTCCTGAACTGTGATCCGAAGTGTGTTTTTAGTGTTGGTGCTGTGCTGCAGCTGGCCAGCAGCTTCGTTGTCGCATCTAGCCGTGTTTTTATTGCCACTCAATTAACTCCGAGGTAATCGGCTTTACTTTCTTGATTGTTAAGTGCAAGTTGTCTCGTTTGTGATCACTTCTGAACGTATATGAAGAATAAATAGCATAATGAACTAGCTCTGATCTTGGTATAATTTAGTTATGCCTGTGCTGTGGAAACTCTGTGCAGAGTTTTTGAATTAGATGTAACGGCACCCATATCTTAGAAACTAGTCAGCTGCTTTAATTACAGAAGTAGCCGCCCGCTATTCCAGTGTAAACTTAGATGATGCAGTGTGATTTTTGGAGAGGGGAAAAAAAACCCCGAAAGCCTTTGCAGCAAAAATCACGAGCGTATCTTTACATTTAATTCCAGCTACTAGGAAACAACAAGGACTGTGGTACAAATAGAGGACTGTGTGTACTGCAGTGCTTTCTGTTTGGATACCAGTGTCACATGGGACAATCTCATGGTGTCGTCTTATTTGTAGTGCATGTGTTACCTCAGCAAGAATTAAATTCCCAGCGAATAAGGAAAAAAACAAAATGCAGTCTGGAATTAGTGGGAACATAGTTCTGGAAACAGTCATTTTTTGAAATTACCCCATAATCTGTAAAAACTAACCAGCTGTTTTTCTTGTTATGTGTTCTTTTGCCTGTATACTCATCTCTTGCCTTTCCAGATACGTTTTGATGTCTGTTGTAATATCAGGTGCTGATCTGGCGTTATTTCCAGTTGATAGAAGGTGATAAAGTGGTTGCATAATGCATTAGAATTATAAAAAAAAATAAAAAAGCACAGATGTGCTACTGAGGTTAAATGCAGTGAGGAGGTTCTGAAAGTGAGATACCATCTTTGTTTCTACTGAACAGGCACAAAAGAGTGAGTGTATTGTCACAGAAAGCACCAGTTTGCTTACTGTTTTGTGGAATAGTTAATTGTATGCACATCAGAAATTGCTTTCTCAGTACTGTTATGTGTAGTTTAGCTTTGGGAATCTTCTATGATCTGAAAATCCCAGGGACAGGGAAGTAGGGCAGGGTTGACTCCAGCTAACAGGTGTGATGGTTCAGTGTCTGATTGCAAAGAAAATATCAGCAGCGAAACACTTAGTAGTTGGAGTTTGTGCATCACATAGCTATCACAGAGAACAGGTTCTCCAATTTTTGTCAGCTTCCATAGTACACTGAGTATTTGACTTTCTGAAACAGGAGTTCAGAAATGGGAGAGATAACAGAACCAGGCACTAGAGTGATGGTACTGCAGTGCTGCTGTCTGGGTATGATACCCTTACTGTTGGCTAGCTAAGAACAGCTGGTTAAATATGGTCCATTGGCAAGTAATTGTCTGTTCTTTCTTCTTTACAGTCTTAACATGTACATCCTTCCTGTAGTGTTAATTCTGCTTCAGCAATTGAGTGCTACTGCATGTGTGTTTAGAACATGTTGTTCTTGTAAGGTGTCTGTGCACGGCAACCATACTTCACAAGAACGGAACCAGCTGCTAGACTCATTTAAACTTCAGAAAATAGTTCACAAGTTGAAACTGCATAGGCAGTTGTAAGCTATTAAAAATAAATGTGTGAAACATTTACTGACTTTAAACAGCTAAAATTCTTTGAGACTTAAGCAGCCAAAATCTAATCTTGTTGTATAATAATGTGAAGATTGTTGGTTTGGTTTTTTTTCAGTGAAGACTGGCTGTCACATAGATAAAGCTGAAGTGCTAGGTAGCACAAATTTATAGAAGGCAAAAATATGTTCATTGGAGTGGAAGCTAAAGTACCTTTTAGATGTATTTCAAAGTAATTACTGGAGTTTTTTTCTTAATTTTTCTGAACTTTCGCATTCCGGTGACAGAGGACTTAAGCTGAACAGTTGTGTGCAGTTATGCCATAGCATTACCCAAGGTAGCATGGTTCCAAAATATATCTAAATGATGCATCTCCGCAGCAGTCCACATCCATTAACTGGGGGGCTGTAGCATTGTTCCTTTGGAGTGGCGAATCAATTTATGGAGTCTGTATGCTGTTCTAAAGAATGAGACTTTTCTTTGTGTCACATACTCATTCTAATGATGTGTGTATTTGCTATTTAATCACTATGAAGTTTTTTTGTTTGTTTCTCCCTTGTGTGATTTGTTCCTTCTTTCTCCCTAATGCAAGTACATCTGTGATTTGGATGGAGCCATTTCAATTCCTTTATCATCTGAAACACCACTTGACTTCATGTTCTGTTCTCCAACAGTATGCAAATTGTTTTGTGCTGTTTGCTATCCACCTACTTTGGCTCAAGTCTTCCTTCTGATTGTGTACTTGGGATGGTTGTGCTGTCATCAGTCTATAATGTCCTGGCCATGAGAGAAGAAAACCGTTGTTATATATGCCCACTTTTAACTGCTTGATCTCATTTTCAGCAGCCCTAGAAACTTGTAGTGCAAATATTCTGGTATCAAATTATAAAAGCATTGTCCCCTTAGTTTTCTCCAAACTGTGCTGTACCTTGTTATCAAGTTCTCGCAGCATCTGGGGTCACCAAGGGGTATTGTGAGGTAAGTGACATTACCAAAGCAGTCATCTCTGTCTGTGGATCGCTGTCAGCAAACACTGCAAATTTGATTTTCCACGTGGCTGAGCAGCATCAGCTGGCTTTTGTCATTATTGCTGGAACCATTTACAAGCATCAAGGATAGTACTGGCTGCATTCCATTGCTGGTGTTGGAACTGTTCCCTGTCATTGCAGTTCTTCAGTCATTCATCCTCACAAATGTTTCTCCACCACACGTTTTGCAACAGCAGAAATGCAAAGCGCCATTCCCTACTGACACTGCAGTCTCTTGTGCAACAGTTTTGAGAGCAGCCCTCTATTGTTTCTCATCACTTGCAGAATTGTGTAGTATATACCGCCCTTGTTTGTTGTCAGCCTTTTGTAGTGACAGTCTTCCATGCTGTTAGCAGTGTTCTTAACACTTGCTCTGAATGCCTTGTCTTAACCTGGGAGAAAAAGCAACAGATTCACTAGGAAAATCAGGGGCCCTAGCACAGCTTCTGTGGAGGATAGATTACCTATGTATTTCCCTGTGAAGGAGCTGACATCCCATGCCATCTTTTTCCCTCCTCTAGATTTTGCTGCTACTTGTGCTGGAGATGTTTTGAGTAGTAGGGAGGCATTTGGTTTTGTGCTATCTGATAGATATGATTCCAATTTTTGTAATGGAGATGATGCTGCACAGATTTGAGCACTTCCTTTTCCCTGATAATGGCTGATGCATTAGAAAAGATAGAAATAAGAAATGCTGGGACTGTTAAGGGAATGGGTGGTCTGGTGAAATTGCCTTTCCACCCAGCTTTGCTTGGCAGGCTATTGAGACTTGTTTGGTTAATGAGACTTAAAGTTACTGGACACACTGACTTCTTTTGTGTTCTTTTCTTTCATCTGGCATTACAGAAAATACTGTTTGTGACAGATACAGAGAGGACTTCCCACATTACTTTTCCAGCTTACTTTTAAGTAGGAGGCCATTCTCATTGACTCAGTGTTGTTACTAATAGTGTACTCTAACCATTTAATTAGTCTTACATAAGAGATTAAATTGCTTTAATTGTTAGGGAAAATAGTTCTAATTGATAAATATCTTGATTTCCTCGCTATTTTATTGTTGATAGTGTGTGGTCTTAGATGTAATCTATTTTAGCAGCCACCATCAATAAAATTGACTTCAAAGCAAAGCATGTTTGAGTATTAGTTTATTATACCTTAGATGATGACTTTTGAGTGGTCAGTGCAAAAGGCTGCTTTTGTTTTGTTTTCCCAGCAGTGAGTGATGGTAAACTATTAAGGGATATTAAATCCAACCTACCTCACCAGTCAGAAATCTGCAGAATCCTCTTCTCAGCGTTCTGCTACCACTCCAAAGGAAAGAATTGAGAAGTAGGCGCAAAATCTGTGCACGCAAGCAACTCATCTGTGATTACTCATCAAAATTCTGTTAAGTCAGTCTTTGGGACCCTTTGCCCTTTCACCTTTTGCACAGTGTGGCTCTGGTCAGAGTGAAGCCCTTTACTGTCAGCAGGAGTGTGGAAAGCGCTTTGTGAAACTATGGTAATTTGAGGCCTACAGCATTAGTCAGTTTCTAAGAGCTACTGTGAAAGACGATAATTACAGGTTATTTTGTTGTTTGTTTTCAAATAGTTATGCAATGGGTACATTTCTTTTAGAAGTAGACTGTTCTTTTTCTGTGTACTGAACTTCACGCCTGTAACAGTGTTGTCAGTAAAATCATTCAGCAGTTGTAGTGCTCTCCTTTCCTATGCAAAACTTAGCATTGTAATTACATGGAATTTAATGGTTCCATTAGTGAGAGAGTGTAGTTCATGCATTCTGGTACATTTTAACTAATTATCTTGTACATTGGAACTGCAACATGAAGTACTCAAAACGCCTTCCTTACCTTCCACCCCATGCAGGTCACAGGCAGAATGTGATTGCGTATCGTATGAGTACTGTCTTTGTTTGCATGAAATTCAACTGAGTAAATGAATGCTAACTGTCATGAGGTATAACTCAATTATGTCTCAGTGGGATGAGTGGTGTAAAGTAAGGTAGACACCTTGGAGTTCCTGATTTATAGTAGCTCCTCCTCCTTGCAACCTGGCCTTGAAATAGAATAGCTCTCATCTTCCAGCATTTACTGCCAAGATATTCTGCTTCCATGTAGAGGGAGGAGCTGTTTTGTTTTTTGAAGGAGCTTCTCCATGGGCTTTTAAGCTGTTCCAATAGTCCATCCATTTTTGCCTTCTTCATTGAATTTCTTGTATATGTAATTCAGTAATCTATGCAGAAAATAATATGATTAATCTGAGAATAAAAGAAATGAGTAGAAAGCTTCCCATTTCACTTCAGTTGGCTTTAGGTCAT